GTGTGCGTGCGTGGGTGTGCTGTGTGTGTGCGTGTGGCTGTGTGTGCGCTGCGTGCAGTGCGTCGCGGCGTGTGTGTGTCGTGTATGCGTGCATGTGTAGATTAGCGTAGAGTGGGTAGGAACGTAGGTGTGGCACGTGGCAGGTAGACGGCAGGGGCAGGTATGGGCACGTGCATGTGTACGTACGTACGTAATGTATCATTTACTGTAAGTAAAATACCATCGTGTGTTACGTATCTATGTATGCATGTTATGTCATTACTATATAATATACACGTGTGTGCTACATGTAGGGCTGATGTTGCACATGTTGCAGGCGTGGTCATCTGCGACCCGCTGCTGGACGACTCGGTGATGTTGCGAGCGTCTGCGCGCGCTGACGCCGCGACGTGCGCTCTGCACATGTTCGGGCCAGCCTGCAGCCCCATGGACTTCCTCAACTTCCACAGTCGTTCAGCAGCGATCGCCAATCAGGCGTCCGAGATGTGCGGCCGCGCGGGCCTGGAAGAGCTGCTGGGGATGCAGCAGGGAGGCGACCGTAGAGGAGAGGAGCGATGGGAGGGAGGGAGTGAGGGCGGTGGTAGGAAAGAGAAGGATGGTAGAAGGAGGGAGGAGAGAGGAGGAATGGTAGGAATGATGGGACGAGAGAGGAGGGGTGGTAGGAAGGCTGGGACGAGAGAGGAGGGGTGGTAGGAAGGATGGGACGAGAGAGGAGGGTGTAGAAGGATGGGACGAGAGAGGAGGGGTGTTAGGAAGGATGGGGAGGAGAGAGGAGAGGTGCGTAGTAAGCGATGGACGGAAAGGAGGGGGTGGTAGGAAGGGATGGGACGAGAGGAGGGGTGGTAGGAGGATGGGAGGAGAGAGGAGGGGTGGTAGGAAGGGAGGGATGGTGAAAGGAATTGGGAGGAGAGAGGAGGATGGTAGGGGAGCAGGAGGAGTGGTAGGAGAGAGGGAGGGATGGTAGGACAGAGGAGGATGTACTTGGAAGGATGGGAGGAGAGAGGATGGATGGTAGGAGAGAGGAGGGATGGCAGTAAGGATGGGAGGAGAGAGGAGGGGTGGGTAGGAAGGATGCGGGACGAGAGGGAGGGTTGCGTAGGTAAGGATGGGACGGGAGGAGGGGCGGTTAGGAAGGATGGCGACGAGAGAGGAGGGGTGGGTAGAAGGATGGGAGGAGAGAGGAGGGTGGTAGCGAAGGATGGTGAGGTGGAGGAGGGGTGGTAGAGATGGGGCACGACCGTGCTAGTTGCGTGCTAATTGCGAATATCGGTCACGTGGTAAAAACCTGTAATAACGGTAAAACTGCATGTCGGAGTACTTGGTACCCGAGGCCAGGTGCCGCAAAGTGACTGCCAGCTTCAGGCCAGGGTCCATGGGCAACCTGTACTTGGTGTTTTGCTTGGTGATGCGAGGACCAACCTCATCGGGGGCATCCTCGAGTAGCAGCTCATCGTACATCTCGGGGGCATCCTCATAAAGTTCTTGAATGCACCTTGGTCCTCGTTCCGGAGCTCCACCAGAAGCTGGTCGTAGAGACCAAAGTCAAGGCGCCTGCTAATCTATGGTCTAACCCCCCACTGTATGTGTTGGTGTGCTAAATTGACCAGATTAAACTGATATCCAATAACAGCAAGAGGTAGCTCCATGTTGTCACCTCGGAGGTCCACCAACAACTGACACCGATCTAGAAAAGGCCAACTATTTATACCATTTCTCAACACGCATGTAGTACGCAACTAACACGCAACTCACACGCAACTAATAGGTTGGGGATACGCTGGGAATACGCACAATAGGTTGGGGATACGCTGGGAATACGCACAATAGGTTGGGGGTACGCTACACACGCAACATGATCGCAACAGGCACGCAACACGATCGCAACATGATCGCAACAGGTACGCAACACATTCGCAACATGTACGCTACCAAAACCTGGCCAGATACCTCAAATTTAGACCTGCGATCACCTGCATTCATAACTTATGATTTGCGTACCTGTTGCGATCGTGTTGCGATCGTGTTGCGATCGTGTTCCGTGCGTAGCGTACCTGTTGCGTCCCTGTTGCGTATAAATTGATCGCAGGCATTCGCAGAGAATTATTGAACAGTTCAAAATTTCTGAACTTACACTGCGTGTGTCTGCGATCACCTGCGTGCTTGTTGCGTACTTCAAACCTATAAAACCTATTAGTTGCGTGTGAGTTGCGTTCGGAACTTATGCCCACTATTTTTTATTCGCAACCATACGCAACTGGTGATCGCTATGGTGTGACGGCACCTTTAGTTGCGTGTGAGTTGCGTTCGGAACTTATGCCCACTATTTTTTATTCGCAACCATACGCAACTGGTGATCGCTATGGTGTGACGGCACCTTTACCTGGATCACATTAATAAACCCTTCTAAACACTGTCACCTCTACAACATACCTTAATTTACAGACTTACTGTAATTTGTGATCATCATTTAACTGTCTATCGTGTCTATAGCTTTTTAAGCTTATTTAACGCAATTTTTATTGAGGTTTGCACATTATTGATGGTACAAAATTTCTTTTTATTACAGGCAAGGATTCTTTCCAAAAATGCAAGGACTTTTCAAGCACAAAATCAACATTTACTAAATTCACGCGGGTACACGCACGTACACGCAAGTACACGCACGTACACGCGGATACACGCGCGTACACGCGGGTACACGCACGTACACGCACGTAAACGCGGGTACACGCACGTACACGCAGATACACGCACGTACACGCAGATACACGCACGTACACGCGGGTACACGCACGTACA